TGGGACACAGCAGGGACAGTGGGACAGGCACAGGGACGTGGGACACAGACACGGACACAGCACGGACAGTGGGACAGGCACAGGGACATGGGACACAGACACAGCATGGACGGTCAGGGACATGGGACACAGCAGGGACAGTGGGACAGGCACAGGGACGTGGGACACAGACATGGACACTGGGACAGGCACAGGGACGTGAGACAGACAAGGACACAGCATGGACACTGGGAGAGGGACGTGGGACACAGACATGGGACACAGCAGGGACAGTCAGGGACGTGGGACAGGCACAGGGACATGGGACACGGACACAGCACAGACAGAGGGACGGACATGCAGATGGGCGTGCAGGGGCAGGGAACACCAAGCTGGATGGACACAGACACGGTGTCACTGCCGCGGCGCAGCGCTGCCCGGGAAGGCAGCGGCAGGACAGGGAAGCAAGGCCATGGCAGGCGCTGGGGCCGTGCTGCCCCTTGCTAGTTGTGGGCCGGGGGTCTCTGACCGCGGGGCTGTTGCCGCAGAGTGGATCGAGCGCCAGCAAGCCAAGAACAAGTTCTACTATTACCACCAGAAGTTTCGCCGCGTGCCCGACCTGAGCGAGTGTCTGGAGGGCGACTACCTCTGCTTCTTCGAGGCCGAAGCACAGTGGAGGAGGGACAGGTATGGCTGTCACTGGGCTGCCCCCAGGCGAGGCCACGGCAGAGTGCACTGCTGTGGTTAGTCAGCCCTGGGGACTGCGGCGGTTGGCTTGAACTCGCAGCATTTTCGTGGACTTTGGGGTGTTGAGGCAGCACCTCCTGCTCCCCCCCCATTACAGAACACCCATTTCGTAGTGCTGCTGTCCCCCGCAGCGCAGCCGAGATGAGCAGGGTGGCATTAGGAGACATCCTCCTGCACTGCCTGGTTGCTGCAGGACAGACCAGGATCTCTCTAAAAACCCTTCCACAGGGTACCATCGCCCCAAAACAGGGTACCACCGCCCCTCTGTTCAGCTTTTCTATCATCTCTTGGCTGTGGTTGCATTCGTCGTCATCTTTCCCGCAGGATGGTTGATCAGGAAATCGTGGAGATAGTCCGGGAGAGGCTAGGGGCCTGCAAGCAGAGGGAGGGACCCAACCAGTTCCAGAACTGCGCCAAGGAGATGGAGCAGCTGGTGCAGGTCACCAAGGCCTACCAGGACAGATGTGAGTACGGCAACAGCCTGTGCACCTCTGCCGCGGCTGCGGCAGCACGCGGGGAGGGGGGGCTTAACCACGTCCCAGACCTCATGTGGAACAGAGGCTCATTTCTTTTTGGCTGCTGAGGGGCACTCTTCAGGCATTTACTTTCTCTTTAGATGGTGATCTTGGTGTCCATGGAAACGCGAGGACGTGCCTGATGAAGCAGAAGCACAGGATGATGGAGGAGAGGAAGGCACAACAAGCAAATGCATCTCAGTAGATCTACATGGTTAGCGGCTCCCGCCGTGGTGCTCGTATCGAATGCTGCATGTTGCACCTCTGAACTCTGATGCCATTGACCTCTACAATAAACGTGCAGCCCAGACATCTGCCATACAACTAGAATCTAGACTCATTCTTTGGAGAGACCTGCAAACACTTGCAGATTTCTTCCCTGTTTCAGCTCTGCATTCTTCTTTGAATTCCAGCCGATTGTTACCACCCTCTAAACCACAGCCAGCCCCTCGCTGCAGGCAGCCCTGGCTGGGATTTCCCCTCGGGGACTCTCCCCCACCTCCGTGGAAGAACAGAAACGCCCTGTGCTGCTCTGCCCAGCCCTGGCAGAGAACTCCCTCAGTTAGGGTAAAGATCACATGCTGTAGGACAGCACGTAATCTTCAGAGCTGGTTCTGGACCCCATTTAGGATTAATACATGATTAACAAGGATTAGTATAACGTAACATACTATTTCGTTCAACAGATGTTCAGGCTCTGGCCCGCAGACCTGAACCTACTCCAATCCCCAGCGGAGATTTAATCCATCTGCCCGATGCATTAACCACCCCGTCAAGCCAATCCCAGTTTCTTGTTCACTGATCACTTTATTGTCTTGTACAAAAACCGCTTAAGTCGTTGCCACAGCAGCGGCCTGGGTTCTCTGCACGGAGACTCTGGTGTGGGTCTTAGCCAGGTGATCAGTGAACTCCTGCGGAAAAAAAGAAACACACACAAAAAACAAATGTGTTTTGTTTTCTTAAACCACTATCACGGGTTTCTCGGCACTGCATCCCTTTCCAACAAGATGTGTATGTGGGGGCTGAGGTAGTTCAGATGCAACTTATTTTTACTTAATATTTCAAAGCTTTCCTCTTCCTATTTCCTTTGTCCACAAAATGCCATTTTCAAGTATTACTCAAAACCGCATGCTGGGAAAAAAAAAAAAAATCACACTCTACCCGGCGGTCAGCTCTGACTGCAACCCTACTCTCCCCTTACGAAACTGCAAATTCTTTGGGTACGGCATCTGAGCTTCACAGGGCAGGAAGGGTAAGATTTGAGCTGCAAATTGCAGGAATACTCTTACCTGGTAAGGAGACTTGGTGAACACAGTCTCTTTCCAGAGGTCGGGGGTCAGGTAACTGTAGGTCTTGGAGATGGCATCGAAGGTGGCTTTAGCTACGGAGAGGAGTCAAACATTGCACGGCATGGCTGCAGAAACCCGCTCCCTCGTACCCACCCACCCAGCTCCAAAAATGTAGGATTTAGGAAGGAACAGGGAGACCACCGCGGGGTCTCTCTGATATACACACAAAACTCAAGTTTCTTTCTCTCTCCATTTACGACAATTACACTACTTCAAACAAGTGCAATCGCGCAGATTGGGAGATCTCCTTTTTTTAGTATCAATGCATGTATAAAAACACAATTTCTTGTAATTGACTTTCGCAGAACTTCAGGATCATCTGCAGCAGGACTAACCTGCATTGTAAAAAGCATCAGCAGAAGTCTTCGCTTCTGCTTGGCTGCTAGAAGCTTTTGATTCAACACAGATTAAAAAAAATACTCTAGAAACGGGTATGTTGCATCCCTGTGAGTGACAAAAATGGCAATACATACAGCTAAGCTGCAACATGAAAACCCAAAGCTCACCAAAGTTGCCGAGGGTGGCAGTGCAGCCCCTGGCCGAGGTGTAACAGTCATCAATACCAGCCATCATCAGCAGCTTCTTGGGGACAGGGGCAGACACGATCCCTGTACCGCGGGGAGCCGGGATCAGACGCACCAGGACGGATCCACACCGGCCGGTGACCTACGCAAGCGCCGACAGGTTACAGCTCCCGAAACACACGCTATGGCACCATCACCCAGACCGGGCCCAAGCAGGTCATTCTCACCTTGCAAGGCACGGTGTGGGGCTTGCCGATCTTGTTCCCCCAATAGCCTCGTCGTACGGGTACGATGGACAATTTGGCCAAAATGATCGCCCCGCGAATAGCGGTGGCAACTTCTTTAGAGCATTTAACACCAAGACCAACGTGGCCGTTGTAGTCCCCGATAGCAACAAAAGCCTAGGGTTGAAAAGAGAAGTTTTCAGTGGCGGCTGTGCTGCACAGGAACACTCTCTCAGCAAACGCAGTCCATCGGGGTCTCTCACCAAGGACGACGCGATGCATGTGCTCAGCAGTCACAGCGCACAGTTCAAGAAGCCCATTTTTCCCCTTCGGGCTCATCCTTCAGTCAAAACCAACTAAGGTTGGAGAACTGGGATTCAGTTCCCTGCTACAGCCTCATACTGGTCAAAAGTGCCGCTAGTTTCCAAGCGGGCCGCCCTCTTTACACCTACGACTTCTCCCTCCACCACAGCCCTGAACAGGCAGAGCTGCTGCACAAGTGCGACTTAATCTGGTGCCACGGCTGCTTCCAACAACATTTGAATATATTACCAGGGTTTTAAAATTAATACAAACACTTTGTAAGCCACACAAGCCGATCCCCACACCAAAATATTTACTAGATACCACAGAAGGAAATAAAGGCGTTCGAACTAATTTATTAATGTGATACCAAGAAAGCAGCAGGCAACGGGAACAAAGTTTTCAACGTGAGAAAACAGAAGAAAAAGGCTACCTTAAACCTGGTACGCTGACCAGCACGAGTCTGTTTCTGGACAGGCATGATCTTCAGAACCTCATCTTTCAGCGAAGACCCCAGGAAGAAATCGATGATCTCTGACTCCTGCAAGAGTCAGTCACTTAATCACACACGGCCACGCTTTTTAAACAAAGCGAGCGCAGCTAGCAAAGGCTCCTCCAACCCAAGGTCAACAATCCTGCGCACGTGTATTTCAAATAACAGGTAGTCAAGTATGTTAAGTTTTGCAGGCATAAACTGATTCTAGCTTGCTACGTTGCAACATAAAAAGTTAAAACTTCATTTTTTCCACCGCTGAGCAGAACTATTAGAGAAACACTGGGGCAACGTGCTGCCATCTCCACACGAGGCAGGATGCAAGGCGCAAAACCCACCAGGCTTCCCCAGGAGCGACTGCTTCGGTCCTCACCTTCTGTCGATTTGCGCCTTTAACTGGAACACGCGTGACCTCAGCGCCCCGAACAGCAAACGCAGCAGCTACTGCTAGCTCTGCATTTCAGGCTAAGATTCTGCTGCTCGCTACTGAAGCGTTCGCAGACGCTTACCTTGATCGGAAGCGAGAAGAGATAGATCTCCTCCAGAGACTTGATCTTCATATCCTTGACCAGGCGACCAAGCTTGGTGACAGGAATCCACTGGGAAAGCAAGCCGCGGAAAAGGGTCACCGGCAGCAACCGGCTGCCAGCGCCCCGCGGGAAGGGGCTTCCCCCTTCTGCTCCGGCTCTCGGGACGGCAGCAGGCCCCGCCCCTCACCCGGCCCCTCGCCGCCCGGGACAGC